ATATATATATATATATATATATATATATATATATATATATATATATGATGTAGCGTTACTGTGTTTGTAAATGTTAATACAATGAATTCTTTAATTGTTCTTAAAGTTTTCTCCTTTCTGACGTTAATTTGAGTACAGATTGCTATGAAAATAGTAAAAATGATATCATGTGCTATATGAGTAGTGAAAATAAAGGAAAAAAGAAAGAAATATAAACAAAAGAGAATTCGTAAGTTTTTTACGAATATTTTTTAAATAAAACTTATAGAGTTTGGTGAAAACAAGATACTCATACAAGACATAATATTATTTGTATGTACTATTTTCATAGCATATCTGTGCTCAGATTGACGTCAGAAAAGAGAAAACTTTATATTTTAATATTAGAACCACTTAAACAATTAATCGTACTATCTGGGAAACATCAACAAACACAGTACACGCTACATCAATATTATAATTTTTTACTTAAAAGTGTGAGTGTTATTATATATAACACATGTATGTAACAGTTATATTGTTGAACAAGTATTATAATATATTGATATAACGTTATTTTTAAAATTGGTGTTTATTAAATATTCTTCCAGTAAACACTATCAGTAACATAGTATCAATGTTATAATTTCCTATTTAAGAATGTAACTGTTACATAAAACGCATTATATTCCATTTACATTGTTGAATGGGAAATTATAACATTAACGTTATGTTATTGTTAGTTGGTGTTTACTGGGTTTGTACATCTTAATCTGTGCATAAAGTGCATTATTATCCTTAAATTCATAAATGAAATATACATCTATGTTCACTCTTTGATAACATTACCTTAACATCTTTCTATATAATAAAATAAGAGAAATTGAGTATGAAAGAAAATGATAGGAAATTATAACATTGATATTATGTTACTGATAGTTAATATTTACTGAAAGAATATTCATTAAACACCAACTTTAAAATGTAATGTTATATCAGCGCACACACACACACACACACACACACATATGATGTAGTGTTACTAATATACTGTGTTTGTTCCTGTTTCCCAATTAACACAACAAATGCATTGATTCTGAAGTTTTCTCCTTTCTCACGTCAGTCTGACCACAGATTTCTATGAAAATAGTATGTACAAATGATATCATGTACTGTGTGGGTACTGAAAATAAAAGAAAAGGATACGATAGGAATGGAAAGATTTATTATTTATCCTTTTATTTATTCATTCTCTTACTCATATATTTATCTTGTCTTTCCATCACGCTCTTTTGTGGTTTTTTACCATTTTATCATTTATCTTCACTTTTCTGTTTCCTCTTCATTTCTCCTCGCACATTCTCTCTTTTCTTTCTTTCCTTTCTTCTCCTTTTCCTTCCTCTTTTATCTTCTTATTATTTAATTTAGCTATAAAAAGTAAAAACGACGCAAGGTATTCAAGTTTTACACCGTTATATATTTTTATTTTTATACATTCACCGATACTTATCTGATATTATCCTTGTTAATTCCACAACTTTTCTTCAGAATTATCATGGCAAACACACTTCGCAACTTTTAAAACTATTATATACATTAAAAATATAACTTCGTTATAACCCCATTCTCGTACGCACGAACTGTCACTCGACTCTGCCGCGATGACAGTTACAAGTCGGTAAATCGGTAATCGCAACTCTCTCGTCATCCCGCCATCTAACGGAGAAGATATGTGATGGAGAATTTCTGTGATGAGGAGACGTTTCTCACGCGTAAATTCACGATTTCAGACTTTGAGCTAAGATAGCTCAGCTTCTGGAGCACATAGAGCAAAAATAAAGGCAGTTTTATGATATAATGTAAACCCAAGGAATCTGCGCGAGCACCTTAAAATATCTAAATAAAATTCTATTTATTATTATTTATAGACTATTTATGAATGCATTATGATTGTTACAGGCGTTTTATGAATATTCTACAGACTGTTAGAATTTTAGAAATAGTTAGAAATAGAATATCCTGGTATATTTTCATGCACATATAGTCTGAACCGCTCATTTATTATTCTTTAAAATGTCCTAAAAAAGGATGAAAAATACAACAGAATGTTAAAATTTCAAAAAAATATATAAACAAGATAAATGCTTTAAAGGTATACAATTACAACCCATACAGCACAGAATCTTCCGGTTATGTTGCTGCAATGTTACATCATTGCACATTGCAATGTAATGTAACAGAGATATTACAGGAAAATTAAAATGGAAACAAAACATTAATAATATTGCAGCAACGTTTCAACAGCAATAATAAAAATGTAATGTAATAATTTTAAGCTAAATTAGATATAAAAGTATAATTTTACTATTTTGTCTTATATAAAACAGAATTAAGAATTTATCTACATTAATATTTACACATGTACATATAAATACAGTGAGATTATATTTTTGGTTGTTTTAGTTATTTATATATAAAATAATTGAAAAATGAAATAAATATGATTGTACATTATTATGTCTTATTATTAAGACAAAGAAGAAAAATATATATTGCAGAGTAAAATTATATATATATATA